GGTGTGGTTTCTATAGTCCAGGTGTACTTTCTATAGTCCAGGTGTGGTTTATATAGTCCAGGTGTACTTTCTATAGTCCAGGTGTGGTTTCTATAGTCCAGGTGTACTTTCTACAGTCCAGGTGTACTTTCTATAGTCCAGGTTTACTTTCTATAGTCCAGGTTTACATTCTATATAGTCCAGGTGTACTTTCTGTACTCCAAGTGTGGTTTCTATTGTCCAGGTGTGGTTTCTACAGTCCATTTGTACATTCTATAGTCCAGATGTACTTTCTATACTCCACGTGTAGTTTATATTGTCCAAGTGTGGTTTCTATACTCCAGGTGTGCTTTCTATTGTCCAGGTGTAGTTTCTACAGTCCAGGTCAGGTGTACTTTCTATAGTCCAGATGTACTTTCTATTGTCCAGGTGTAGTTTCTACAGTCCAGTTGTACGTTCTATAGTCCAGATGTACTTTCTATAGTCCAAGTGTACTTTCAGTAGTTCAGTTGTACTTTCTATAGTACAGGTGTACTTTCTGTAGGAGGAAAGACAATAAACACATGTTCAAATAGAAATAATTACAAATATAAACAGGTTGAGTAGAGTAAGTAAAGACAGCAGCAGAGAGAGGAAATGTGGTCAGTTTGTCCTCCAGCAGGCTAAGCCTATAGCAGTATAACAAAGGGATAGCTCAGGAAACCCAAGCCAACCCGAATTATAGGATTGATCATAAAGGAAAGTCTTCAGTCCAGTCTTAAAACTGGACAATGTGTCAGCCTCACAGACAGAAACTGGAAGTTGGTTCCACAAGAGAGGAGCCTGGTAACTGAATGATCTTCCTCCCATTCTGCTTTTGGAAACTCTAGGAACCACAAGTAAACCTGCAGTCTGAGAGCGAACTGCTCTGTTAGGAAAACATGGAACAGTAAGGTCTGTAATGTAAGATGGAGCTAGGTTGTTGAGAGCTTTGTAGGTTAGACGTTAAGGCTCCACGTCGTCGTTCGTTGGACGCAGAGAGCTAACGGTGAGTTTTTGTTGTTGCAGTGCTGCGGCAGAGGAGAGAAGCAGACGCTGCTTCATTCTCGGAGCTGCACAGAAAGCTTCAGACGCAGGTGGGTGTTTGTGTCTCAGTCAGCTGTTTTTTATTTACCTCCAGAACCAGCAGCAGATCTGTGACGTACCTGCGCTTCCATTGGCACACGCAGACCAGGCTCGATTAAGCATTTGACATTAAAAGGACAGTTTCTGTTGAACTGTTTGGTGTTTGTCTTTCTGTTCGTCAGAGCGTTCTGAAGCACCGCTGGTCCGTTCTCTACCTGCTCCTCAGCCTCTCCGAAGACCCCCGCAAGCCTTCCAGCAGGGTGAGGGACACGAACGGGCCCAAAGTCCAGAACAGATTCACTTCTCTGTTCCTCTTTTTTTTTTTCCAATCTGATGAAAATCTCCTCCTCAGGTTGGAAACTACGGGGCGCTGTTCGCCCAGGCCCTCCCCAGGGACGCTCACTCCACCCCGTTTTACTGCACCCGACCCCAGAGCCTGGCCCTGAGCTACGGGGAGCGCAGCGCCGGCCTCTCCGGTAGCGTCGGGACCAGCGGGATTTCCAGTTTAGGGGTGTACGCTCTGAACGGACCCACGCCGACGCCGCAGACTCTGCTGGCTGGGTGGGGGCTGCCTCTTTTTTTTTTTTTTTTTTAGCTTTTATTTTACAATTCTGTCGTTTGTAAACTTGGCAGCGCGTCAGCTGGGGTTGGGCGGTTTCACCTGAGAGGTTCTGTAAAAGGCTCCATTAAAATGTCTGCGCTAGATAATCGTCAATCAGCTCCACGACATCATCGCACCTCTCGGGCGGAGCCGTTAGCTTTACGAGGCCGTTCGACTCCATTAGCTCTCATTAATCATGCAGGAGACCGTTCGCTGGGCCGGCTGCTCCCAGCAGGCATCCTTTGATGCCCATTTCAAACTTAAAAACATTTTTACAGCAACAAGCAGGTGGAGCCGTGCTGTTTTGTCCTACAGTAATTTTTTTCTGTTTATTTATAATTTATTTATTTATTCTAAAAATATAAATTTCTGAAGATAATTGTCCTGCGCACGATGTGTGTTTTAGTGCACCACCTCAGTCTGCTCAGCCTCTGGGCTCACGGTTAGCCTGGGCTCTTCCCGTCACCTCCTCGCCTTCGTCTGCTCTGGCCCCGCCCACAACCCGGCCACTCCTCGGGCCCCCGGTTCCCTCCACCAGATTGGCTCGCCCTCGCCGAGACGGCGACCCAGCCGGTGAGCGACGGGAACAAAGACCCATGTCTGACTGACCTCAAAGCTGTCGTTCTTCCATATTTTAAAAACATTATTGTTTATTTAAGAGCTGCTAAAGACCGTTGACCTCCGACCGCTAACACATGTCGTCTGCTGCAGGTGAGGCGAGCGAGGCGGCGCTGGTGAGGGACATCCTCTACGTCTTCCAGGGGATCGACGGCAAGTTCATCAAGATGAACGCCCAAGAAAACTGTTACAAAATAGACAGCAAGGTACGCACACCTGCATCGACCCTTCAAAGGTTTTCTTCAGACTAAATGATGAGGGCTTTGGCGTCTCCCCCAGCTGCAGATGTTTATTAATTTACGTAATGATCTTTATGGAGAGCACGGCCTCCTTTAATTCGTCTGCCCACCTTGGATAACCCTGTAAGATGCCGCTGATTCTGACCGATCAATGTAACCCCCCACTTTGTTAACCATCAATAAGAAGGTCGTGGATGGCGCTTGTTTAACGTCCACTCACTGGTGCTAAACATGGAGTCACGGTCAATCTGCTCCATCAGGACTGGAGCCACACTGAGATAAATCAAGACAAGGAGAAAGGTTTCCTGCACCCCCGCCACTTAAACGCTGCAGAACTCCCCGTATAAAATGTTATGCTGATGAAATTTTAATGTGTCATTAAAAGGGAGTTATCCCCCGCCTGTCGCGGTAGAAAGGCCACAAGGCCTGAAGTTTGTCTTCTGTTATTTACGTCTAAAACGACGGAGCGTTTCTTTTATGCGGCTGAATCTATTCTTCATACCTGCAAATTTGTCGCTTTTTGGCGAAATTCGCCGATTTCATTCAAAAATATGTCATTTACATGAATCGTCTAGATCCGAAGAGTTGGTTTTTTTTTTGTTTTTTTCTTTTGGTCAGGGTTGGTGGGGAGGGGGTGGGCAAAGGCATTTTAGATTACGTAATTTCCCACTGACTGGACTTGCATAGCTCTAAGCTAGTGCTACGTAAGTTGGGCTAGCAAGCTCACAACCAGTGCTCGCAACAAATCTTGAGCTAGCTCGTAAGCGTTAAGCTAGCATATTTACGTAGTGTTAACTTAGTGCTATGTAAGTGCCAGGAGTTGTTGACCGGTGGAGGGTGGTAGGTCCAGAGGCATTGTAGATGGCATAATTTCCCATTGACTGGACTTAAATAGCATGAAGCTAGTGCTAGGTAAGTCGCACTAGCTAGCAACAAAGCTCACACTAGCTTGTAAGCGCTAAGCTAGCACACGTAAGTGCCGGGAGTTGTTGACTGGGGGGAGGGGGGGTTAGAGGCGTAGTAGATGGCATCATTTCCCAATGACTGGACTTAAATAGCGCTAAGCTAGCACTACTTAAGTCACGCTATCTAGCTCGAAAACTTTGCTCACAACAAAGCTCATGCTAGCTTGTAAGCGCTAAGCTAGCGCACTTACCTAGTGCTAGATAAGATCTACATAAAGGTCGGGAGTTGTCGCCCGGTAGGAGGTGGGGGTCAGAGGCATGGTAAATGGCGTAATTTCTCATTGACTGGATTTAAATAGCGTGAACCTAGTTCTAGGTAAGTCGCACTAGCTAGCTCGCAACAAAGCTCGCACTAGCTTGTAAGCGCTAAGCTAGCACACTTAATGCTACATAAGTGCTGGGAGTTGTTGACTGGGGGGGTTAGAGGCATAGTAGATGGCATAATTTCTCAATGACTGGACTTAAATAGCACTAAGCTAGCACTACGTAAGTCACGCTATCTAGCTCGAAAACTGTGCTCACAGCAAAGCTCATGCTAGCTCATAAGCGCTAAGCTAGCACACTTATCTAGTGCTAGATTAGATCTACATAAAGGTCGGGAGTTGTCGCCCGGTAGGGGGTCAGAGGCATGGTAAATGGCGTAATTTCCCATTGACTGGATTTATATAGTGCTAAGCTAACTCTACGTAATTGCCGGCAGTTGTTGACTGGTGATGGGATGTGTTAGAGAAGCGGAGCGCTACGTCTGTAGCATCTTAGCTAGCATGTCTGTATTGCGTGATCTTGGCTTTCTGCTACGTATTTAAGAAATTAGATTTTGTTTGTCTCCCCCTCCCCCCTACAGGTGCTAGGTTTGTCACTTTTTTCATCTCTTGTAAGTTGGCAGGTATGATTCTTTCAAAAGAAAATGTTAAAGATTTCCATTTCCGGCGTCGTCTTCAGCTTCATAACACTCGAGTTTACCGCTGAGTTTGTATAAATTACATTCTGCAGGTGCTTTTTTTTTTTTTTTCTTCAGTTGGTTCTGTGCAAGTCCCTCAGAGACACCAGCAGCAGACTGGCCGAGCTCGGCTGGCTCCACAACAAAGTCAGGAAGTACACAGACGCCCGGAGTCTCGACCGGGCCTTCGGTCTGGTCGGACAGGTGCGTCTGCCGACCGTTCTTATCGAGGGCGATGTTTGAAAGTGTCCTTCGTGAAACCTTTGTCTTTTTCCTTCAGAGCTTCTGTGCGTCGCTCCACCAGGAGCTGAAGGAGTACTACAGGCTCCTGTCGGTCCTCCACTCACAGGTAAATGGAGCGGTTCTGGAGGACAACATTTTTAAGTCCGTTTTTCCAAAAAGGCAATCGTCAACTTGACAATGCATAATTTTTTTAATGAATAAATCTGTAATTTGGAGCGAAAACGTTGTGGTTAAGAAGTCGTCTTTGTGGCTAATGTGGAAAAGATCCTTTGGATTTAGACTCAATGATCTGTGGTGATGTACAGATTAACAGATGAGGTCAGGCAGGAATCCCCATGGACTATGATGTTTGCAGATGATGTGATCTGTGGTGAGAACGGGGAACAGGTGGAAGAGAGCTCAGAGAGGTGGAGGTATGCACTTGAAAGAAGAGGAATGAAAGTAAGTCATAGTAAGACAGAGTCCATGTGTGTGAGTGAGAGGGAAGAGGTGGAACAGTGAGGCTACAAGGAGCAGAGGTCACAAAGGTGCAGGACTTCAAAGACTTGGGATCCACTGTCCAGGAAAATGGGGAACGTGGTAAAGAGGTGAAAAAGAGAGTCCAGGCAGGATGGAGTGGATGGAGAAAAGTTTCAGGAGTGATTTGTGACAAAACGGTGTCAGCAAAGTTCAAAGGAAAAGTCTACAAGACAGTGGTGAGACCAGCTATAATGTATGGTCTGGAGACAGAGACATGGACAAAAAGACAGGAAGTGGCAGAAATGAAGATGTTGAGGTTCTTCTTAGGAGTGACGAGGATGGAGAAGATCAGGAATGAGATCATCAGAGGTGCAGCACAGGTCGAACAACTGGGAGATAAAGTTAGAGAGGCCAGACTGAGAAGGTTTGGACACGTCCAGAGGAGGGACAATGGGTACATTGGTAGAAGAATGTTAGAAATGCAACTGCCAGGAAAAAGACAACGAGGCAGCTGGGGGACAGAGGACATAGATGGAGGAGCTGTGAGGACCTCTAAAGAGAGAATAGATGAAAGAATGAAAAAAAGATGGCGTCCGGTGCTTCACCTCCCTCGTCGTGTGTTGTAGCTGCAGGTGGAGGACGAGCAGAGCGTGACCATTTGCACAGAGAGCAGCTTGACCCTGAGGAGGCTCCTCGTCTGGATGTACGACCCCAAGGTGCGCCTCCGCACGCTCGCCGCCCTCGTCGACTTCTGCCAGGGTGAGTCGAACGCACACTCCTGATGCTCACGGCGTCCGCGCTTCGCTTGTAAACGAGCGCACCCGCCTGTGCTATGTGTGTTTCAGGTCATAAGGGAGGCGAGCTGGCGTCCGCCGTCCACGCGTACGGAAAGACGGGCGACCCGCAGATGAGAGCGCTGGTTCAGCACATCCTCAGCCTGGTGTCCAACCCCATCCTGAATTTCCTCTACAGGTGGATCTACGACGGAGAGCTGGAGGACACCTACCACGAGGTACATCCTGCTGCAGCCTCCCGATCGTCCTCTAAGGCTCATTAAACCGCCCCGAGCGCTGAGCGACCGCCACTGCTCCTACGCTCGACCCCGACGGTCGAGACGGGCCGTCCTCCTACACGAGGACAGACAAGGGGAGCGTAATGGAGACCGCGGTGATGGATGTGCTCCTCGCTCCCGCTGCATTTACGAGGCCAGCGTTAACCGCCGCTCAGATTTACCGCTCGGCGCTGCGAGTAGCAGAGACAGAGTTACCGGACCTTTAAAATGTCCCGCTCACACCCGGTACCTGTAAATACACTTAAACTGCTGCCCAAGCGAAGTGCACTTTATTAACTCACAGCCTTATTAGGAGAAAATCTGCAATAAATAATTAAATATTGGCTTTTAACTAAATCGATGAGGCGGAAGTGTCTGCTAATAACTCGACCTTGAAGGTAAATTAAATAGTTGCGAGATAAACGGAGAACAAAGGAGCTAAGTGCTAACGCGCAAACTTTCTGAGACCTGACCTCGTTCTTGATTTAGCTTCATTTAAAATAACCGTTTTTTAACGCAATTCAAATAGTTTTAGAGTTGAGCAAGTCTTTTTATATTTATTATTTATCCATTCATTTTTAAAAATCATGTTTTTATATAAACATCTTAAAATAAAGAGGTTTGTTGCGTTTCCTGCTGTGTGGAAAATGTTATTTACCGTATTTTCCAGCATGTAAGTCACAGTTTTTTTGCATAGATTTGTCAGTCCTGCGACTTTTTACACGTTTTTTTTTTCTTCCCATATTCATAACGCAGTTTTTGACTGTTTTAAATTTCTAAGAACTGCAACAGCGAGTCCTGCCGTGCGCGCTCACCTCACTCAGCTGGTGCAGGCGGAGGCATGCTGCAGAGCTAGCGGCTCTGCCCAGGCGAAATGTAGCTGTTTTGACCATTAAATAAACGTGACGGGTCAGCGGTGACTAGGGGTCGAACGACTACATAATTTTAAACGTCGACATTAACAAAATAATAGTCGAGTAGTTGATGACGTCATAGGATCTCAAGATTCAAATAAATAAATAAAACTGCAAAAAAAAAAATTGTCATTTATTATTTACAAAAAGACCAACAAAACATCGGGAGCGCATATTATGCTCCTACCTTTTAGCATACTGCAAATAAGTCACAGGAAAGCCAAAACTATTAGTTATTATTATTATTATTATTATTAAGCTGCAAAACTGAAAGAAACGTGCGGCACGTAAAAACAACGAAATTAAAAACAGTGGGGCGGACGACCACCTGGTGCGCATTAGTTTTAGAAATTAATAGGTTTATAGTTTTAGAGTTAATATTTTTTTGCTTTTAGTTTGTGAAACAAGGTCAGAGGAAGCTGGTTCTGGTTTGGTCGTTTGGACCCGGTGTTACACCATATTCTGTTCGCAACGAGCTCCAAACAGTCAGGAAGTTGTTTCATTTTCTGTTTCCTTACGGTAGTTGAACCGGAAGATTCATCTTTAGTGAAATATTTCTACCTGTTTGCCAAGACCGGGCCTGCTCCGCAACATCCGTCTGCTTAGAGGAATCCATTTTGTAGCTGCCCGCGCCCGGTGCGGATCACGTGACGTAATGACGTAACTGCGAATACTCAACGTGAAATTTAAAAAAACTCGCGAATGTCCTAGGAATCGACGTGTCGATTACTTGAGTAGTTTTTTAAAGCCATAGCGGTGACGCATAATAAATGAGACTTATACGCTGAAGCGACTTATATGTTTTTGTCCTCTTCGTGATGCTTTTTTTTTTTTTGACTGATGCGATTTATACTCTGGAGCGACGTATGCGCCAGAAAATATGGTAACCTAAGGGTTTTTGTTTAGTCAAGGAGCGAGGAGGGTAAATGGAAAGTCTGTCCTCCATATGAAGTGAATAAGTTAAGAAATAAAACAACGCGCTGACTTTATTTTGGAGTGTGGCTGCATCAAGGAGGAAGAAAGGTTCGGATCGAAAACTGGGCTGCCAAGTCAAAATCCAAGATGGCCGCCACTGCGCATATACATACGTACAACAGCCACCCTTGTATTTTGAGGAAACTATTTTTTTTGTGTGTTTATTTTTCTTTAAAAAGTGGTTTCCTTAAATCACTAGGGTGGCCAAGGATTAATCTGTGGGGGCCGAGGCCACCATTGCCCCCCCCCACTCCTTGCTCCGTCTCTGGTGGTGAATAAAACTGCTTCCTCCGCTCATCACGAGCCGTCACTGCACTGCTTCGAACAAGGAAAACAAAACCTCCTCTGTTCTTCTCCACAGTGTAACTCCTCCCACTTGAATATCTTGCAGTAAAAACATTTAGGTTTACTTCATTCTGTTCAGTTCCAGTCCAGAAAAACACTCATCTCTAAAACTACAGACACTCACTGTTCAGACCCCTCGGCGACAAAAGCCACTGGTTTACCGCTTGTTTTTGTACGTGTAATAAATGTTTTTATCTTAAGGGCGAGTGGTGGCGCAGAGGTTAGAGAAGGTGGGCCTGTGATCGGAAGGTCACCTGTTCAACTCCCCGGAGCAGCAAAATCAAAATGTGGATGGGACGGATGTAACACCTGCCTCCACCCTCATTTGCCCCACTCTGGGCCCATGAGCAAGGCCCTTAACCCCCACCATCTGCTCCCCCGGGCGCCCTAGATAACAGCTCTCTGCTCCACACAGAGGCTATGGTAGCTCGGTGGTTGTGTCAGGAAGGACATCCAGCGTAAAAACAATTAAGTCTTTGTGTGAATTAGTTCTCTGTGGCGACCCCTGAAGAAGGGAGCAGCCGAAAGAAGAACAATGTTTTCGTCAACATGTTAAATTAAATGTCGTGCGTCTGTGTGTAGTTCTTTGTAGCGTCGGACCCGAACGTGAAGACGGACCGTCTGTGGCACGACAAGTACTCCCTCAGGAAGTCCATGATCCCGTCCTTCATCACCATGGACCAGGCTCGCAAGGTTCTCGCCACATTCCCGCCGGTTGGTCTCCGCGGTGTTCCACGCTAACCAGACTTCCCGTTCGACCCGCAGGTTCTGCTGATCGGCAAATCGATCAACTTCCTGCATCAGGTGTGCCACGACAGAACGCCGCCGGGCAAAATCACACCGGCGTCCAAACCTGCAGACACTCCCAAAGATGGTAAGTACCTCCCTCAGCTTCCTCGTTCCAACAGAACCTCGTGTTTGGGACGGGGCAGAAGTTCCCGCCGTGTTGGCGAACGATGGTTAATTATTTAGAGGCGCCGGCCATGTTGATGACATCACTGCATTGATAGAACATCGATGTGCGTCGGCGAAGTGGCAGCGATCGATGCTCTTACCGCTCACCTTGTCCTCTGATCGGACTGCGGCGAGCCAGCGGAGCAACATTTCATTGATTGGGTTGAGTGCGGTTGGTAGCTTTTACCGTACGAGCTGAAGGCCGTCACACGGGTGCTGCTGGCAGAAAATACAATCCCGTTTGACTCCAAATTCAGTTCAGTTTATTTTTAAAGCCCCAACAGAAGTCGTCTCAGGGCACCGACTACAAACATTCACATGCGTTATGAAAGTCAATTAGTAAAAGTTCTCTATCTAAGGAAGCAGCAGCGAGCCCAAAGGAGACAGTGGAAAGGAAAAACTCTCCTTTAACAGGAAGAGACCTCCAGCAGAGCCAGGCTCAGGACGAGCGGCCATCTGCTGGAAGTAGAAACAAACACAGAATGACAGGTCCAGGTATAGTTTCTATGGTCCGCGTGTGTTTTGTTTTTAGGAGGAACACGTTAAGATAGAAATAATTACGAATACAAACAGGTAGAGCAAGTTGTCAGAACATAGCCCTCTCTCTTATTTAGGATTATTTGCTACAAAAACTGTGTAACAGCTGGAAGAGCTGGTGACATATATTCAGGAACAGTCATATGATATGCATAGCACTTTAACTTTTATTAAATGGAAAGTGTTAAATGTTATTAGCGTTAGTCACCTGCGATGCTGTCTCACTTGTGGAGGCTTGTTCCGGGTTCCTAGCTGCAGTGATGGATCCTCTGCGCTCCTGTGCCTTTTTAAGTTCAGAGTTTTTCTCCATTGTGCCGTAAGACTAGTCATGCTAACGGGCTAACACAACGAAATGTCTGGTAAAACTCACCGAACAAGACGTGCTATCGGCTATTAGCTTCTCGATGACATTGGAAACGAAGGCTTGTAACTCGGGTAACGTTACGTCGGAAAAACGTCTCAGACTGGGGACGATGTAGCGAGGCTGAACGTAGTCCAAAAATCTTCGGAATCCGACATCCTCAACGAAAAATAAAATTCCACACTGCCAACATTTTGACTTCTTCTTCTCTACCGTGATCAGATCATGTAGGCGCGCGTAGGTCTGTCGCGATAAACAATAAATCAATTAATCGCATGATAAATGAAAATTATCAAACTCATTTTCATTTATCGGCTTTATCGTTTCTTCGTGTCTCTCTCTTTCTAATGAAGACACTGGATGACAAGAAGCTCAACTCTGGTGTTCTTCACTGACCCCTCCCTTCTTTTTTCTCTTTAAAATCTGTTTTAACCTCCAAAATCGTGTTTTTGGATCGTTAAAAGCCGAGAAGCTAAGCTAACAGGCCGACTTGGGGGGGGGGGGGAACCTCCGTCTTGTCGAAGCTCCAAAATTCACGGTTGAAACCCGTGCCTTCGTGTAAAAAGTTGTTTTGTTTTTCTGCAAAAAGAAGCTGAGAACTCGTTTACTGATTTTTTAATTAAAAGCTTTGTTTGAAAAATGCTATGCTAAAGAAATCAAACCACACCGAGCGCCCACCATTTTGCGAACCGAAGAAAGACGGCCCATGTCATGTCAAGGGGCCTCCCTCCCATTTTTTTTTCAGAGACACGCTGCTCGCTCTCTCACTATCCATCCTTCGGTTCAGCCTTATACTGCCATCCAGTGGTCAAAAAAAGGTACTACACACAAAATTAACCAACATTTCTTCTTAAATTTGACAATAATTACTAATTATTGTAAATTTCAAAACAATATTATCGTTTATCGCAATAATTTCTGAGACGATTAATCGCCCAGCAACGTTCGTTATCGTGACAGGCCTCTGCGCGCGTGACGTCATCACGTTGTGCTGGCGCTGCAGGCATCCTTGTCACTGGGTTGTCATACAAAAACAGCGCCTTTTATATCGGTGAGTTATTTTGATGGAATGGCCGATATTGAACTTTAAATCTAATATTGGCCGATACCATGCCGATAATATCATGCACCCCCTAGTTTAAGCCTATAGCAGCATAACGCAAGGACAGCTCAGGAAACCCAAGCCAACCCTAACTATAGCAGTGTTTCCCCTACCATTATACGAGCGGGGCGTCCCGCCTCGTCAACAGAACCGAGCACCCCACACACACACACCTGTCAGCACTGACGTAGTGCTAAACTAGCACCGTGCAAAACAGACACACGCTAGCGAAAAAGTTACAGGCAGCACTCACGTTGCCTCTTCCCTCATGCTGAACCCTGCCCCCCTGTTCGAAAACTGTCAGCACAAACAGCGCGCAGCTCAGGCGTACCCCCACCCCATCCCATCGACAAAAATCACGGATAAGATGAGCGCCCCACCGTGGCAAGGTATCTAGGGGAAACACAGTATACGATTTATCAAAAAGACACTTAAAAGTAGACATGGTGTCAGCCTCACGGACAGATTCCACAAGAGAGGAGCCTGATAACTGGAAGATCTTCCTCCCGTTCTGCTTTTGGAAACTAGGAACCACAAGTAAAAGTGAATTGTTAGGACACTAAAATCCAGATCCACTCCAACAACCAGCGTATTAAAAAAACGGGGGATACAATTGGTAACAGCTATTCAACTGGCGTGGGCCAAATCAGGCCCACAGGTGAGCTCAGTTCAGTCCACCAATGGGTTTATTTTTAAATAAAACCATAAAACAAACAGTTTCATTACATTAACTGCTGGATGTCCGGCCCCTGAGTAATTCGGTTGGACAGCCCTGCTGTAAATGGTTTAAACGCCATTTTTACAGTCGGTTCTGAGTCGTCTCTGTGTTTCTGTAGCTTCGGAGCTGCTTTCTGACCTCGAGGGAGCGTTTCAGGAGAAAATCGACGCCGCCTACTTCGACACCAGCAAATACCTGCTGGACGTTCTGAACCGAAACTACCTGCTGCTGGAGCACCTGCAGGCCATGAGGAGATACCTGCTGCTGGGCCAAGGAGACTTCATCAGACACCTCATGGACCTGCTGAAGTTAGCGTTCCCCTTCTGCTTCTAAACCAAATCAAACGTTTAAAAAAAAACAAGCTAAGTGTTTGATTTGTGTGTTTTGTGTTGCACCAGACCTGAGCTGGCCCGTCCTGCTACAACGTTGTACCAACACAACCTGACGGGCATCTTGGAGACGGCCGTCAGGGCCACCAACGCCCAGTTTGACAACGCAGAGATCCTGAAGAGGCTGGACGTCCGCCTGCTGGAGGTAACACCAACGCCCGCGCGGTAATCCGTCGAAGCGCCGCGGTTTCATCAACGTGCTCGTTTGTGCTGCAGGTGTCTCCTGGAGACACGGGCTGGGACGTCTTCAGCCTGGACTACCACGTCGACGGCCCCATCGCAACGGTAAGGACGATCTTAAACCACGTAGCTCCTCGTGCACGAAAACACGTCGATGATGTCACGTTTCTGGCCAGGTGTTCACGCGGGAGTGCATGGGCCACTACCTGCGTGTGTTTAACTTCCTGTGGAGGGCCAAGAGGATGGAGTACACCCTGACTGACATCTGGAAGGGACAGATGTGCAACGCCAAGCTGCTGAAAACCATGCCTGGTACACAAACACCTGTCCTCACGTTTGGGTTTTAAAGATGGTGGCAGGTAAAAGTAGGAAAAAACTGCACGTTCTGTGAAAAGTCTGCGTGAGCGCTTCTAGCTGAAAGCTACTGAACGAGCTAAAGCTTGTAGAAAGAAAAAATAACTGAAAAACACCGTAAATATTGAATAAGCCCAAAGAAGAGCTATAAAAAGCTAGAGATACAAAAAGAAAGGCGTGACCTTTGACCCTGACTGTTGACCTTGTAACCCTAAAATCAACTGAGATCATCTTTGACCCACAAGATGTCCAGACGTGAAGTTTTACATCTCTACATTACACGGTGACGCGTTAGAGCTCAGACGAATAGCTTGTGTTAGCATTGGCGGCCATCTTGAATTTTTATTAGCTTTTGACAAGTTAGCTCTCGGCTACTTCCACACTTGATTTTAGCTCAGTATGTCTAAAAATGGCTGAGTTGAAGCTGAAAGGAGCACAAAAAAAGCTAAAATTAGCAAATCAAAGGTAGCTGAAAAGGTAACATTAAAGCTTGGTTTAGCATAAAGAGGCTAACAGTAGCAGATAAAGCTCAAATTAGCAGAAAGAAGCAAAAAAATAGTTGCTAAATTTAGCCCCCCCCAAAAAGTAGTTAAAAAAGCTGAACTTAGTAGAAAGAAGCTGAAAATAGCCCACAGAAGATTAAAGTTACCAAAAACAACTTAAACGTCACCAATTATCTAAAAACAGCTTAACTTGTCAGAAAGAAACCGAGAATAGCCCAAAAATTATAAAGCAGCAAAAAAAGTTGTCCAAAAAAGCTAAAATTATACAGAAAAAAGTAGCTAAAAAAGCTGAACTTTGCTGGAAAAAAAAAACAAATTTGCAAAATGAGCAAAAAGGATCTGCAATTTGCTAAAAAAAAAAGTAGCTGAATAGACAGAAACATGTGAAATTAGCTCAAAGAAGCAGGAAGGGGAATTAAAATCTGCAACAAGATGAAAAGTAGCTGAAATAGCCAAAGGGAGCAGTAAAATGTAAACAGCTCACAAGGTCTGAAGAGAGCTCCATTTTCAATAAGAAAAACATGGCCGACAAAGCTAAATATTTCTGAAAGTCAAACACCAAAAGTCAGAGCAGGATTGTCCTGAATGAGCTGAACGTTTTGAGACGTTTTATTTATTTCAGCTGTTTTTGTTGACCTTCCAGAGCTGTCCGGTGTGCTGCACCAGTGCCACATCCTGGCCTCTGAGATGGTCCACTTCATCCACCAGATGCAGTACTACATCACATTCGAGGTGCGTCCAACCACACCTTTTACAGAAGAACGGCGTGGATGTGGGATTATAACATTTACGGCTGAATTTATCTTCCCAAGTGTTGTTGTTTTTTTTTATCAAGATGAGTATCGTGGCAAAAATCTCATTCAGTTTGATTGAAAGATGAACAAAAAGTGTTATTTTGGACAAAACAAAAAAAAAACGCCAGCGTGCCGTTTGATTTTTTTCATTCATTCAACCTTTATTTATACGTGTTAATCCCACTGAGCCTTGTGGACTCATTTACAAGAGAGACCTGATTTCTTTAGCAAAGAGTGATGACAACAGTGAGTAACAATGACAACAATAGACCGTCATAAAAGAGGCATACAAATGATTATTATTATTATTTTTACAAATTAAAATAAAATGGCAACCAAAAGGGCAGTCAAAAGGAAAAAGTAGCGGGAAGAAGAAAAAAAACAGCTGCATTATAAGGCGGTGTAGGAAACTAAAAACAGGAATATGACTGCGTTGGCTTTTCCCAAGAACTTAGCAGATGTTTGAAGCCACTTAGAGAGGTCAAGGTCGAGAGCGTCAGATCATTTTGTAAGATATTCCAGGAGCGGAGTAGGAGAAGGCCTTTTTGTCTAGTTCAGTCCTCACTGAGGGAACACTGCAGGTAATAATGTCCTGAGAGCGCACGCTGTAGCTGCACTCACGCAGAGACATGTAGGAGGAGATGTATGAAGGCAGCAGAACAAGAAGTGATTTAAAGATGAAAATGTACCAGTGAGAGAGTCTGTGTGAAGTTAATGATGTCCAGTTAACCAGTGAATACTGGGCGCAGTGGTGAGTATGGTAGTTACAGCCAGTTATGAATCTTAGCACACTGTGATGGACAGCATCTGCAGGGTGCTTGTAGGAGCGTTCATGTAAATAATATCACCGTAATCAATGGAGGGAAGGAAAGTTGCAGTTACAAGGTGTTTCCTAGCATTCAGAGTTAAACAGGATCTATTTCTGAAAAAGAAACCCAGTTTAACTTTCAGTTTCCCTTACTAGGTTTTCCACGTGAAGCTTAAAAGAGAGATGCGAGTCGACCAAGATACTCAAATGTTTATAGGAATCAACAAACTCAATAGGGACACCATTTGAGGATAAAATCAAAGGAAGAACTGCTGGGACCGACTTCCTGTTTGAGAAAAGCATCCCTTTGGTTTTATCCTCATTTAGGACAAGTTTGAGACGGAACAAATCTGACTGGATGACGTCAAAGATGGATTGCAAAAGCTGGAAAGCCTTAGCAACTGTTTTAGCTCGACAATAAACAACTGTGTCATCAGCATAAAAATGTAAGGATGCATCAGGGATACTCTGACCTACATTACCTATGAAGATTGTAAAGAGGGTGTGTCCTAAGACTGAGCCTTGTGGTACACCATTGTTGACTGAACCCTAACCCTTAAATGATTTGCAACAAAAAAAGTATGAAGGTAAATTAGTCGAAAGTCGACAAGCGTACGACAAGATTCAATATACTGCTGGGTGTTACTTTGTTCCAACAACATTAATTTAGTGGAAATAAATACCCTTAAATGAGTCCACGAAATTAACATTTTCTGTTTGTGGAAAAACTACCAGAAAAAGTACAATTTCCGGTATGTCCGACATAAATTTTTAGGGAGGAAAAACTAAAATGTTTAGGTTCTTTTTTCATGTGGAAATTATACATTTTCCTGTTCTTTTTATTTTTTCACAAGAATAATACCCTGTCCATTTTAGGATGTTTATTTCAATTGTACAGTCCACAAAATTAACATTTTCTGTTTGTGGAAAAACTACCGGAAAAAATATAATTTCTGGTAAATCCAACATTGTTATCTTGTGAAAATGAAAAATAACCTAATCGTTTTAGGTTGTTTATTTTCACAAGATAACAATGTTGGATTTACCGGAAATTATATTTTTTCCGGTAGTTTTTCCACAACCAGAAAATTTTAATTTTGTGGACTGTACAATTGAAATAAACAACCTAAAACGATTAGGGTATTTTTCATGTAGTAATTAATGCAAGATATGTATTTTCCAGTAATTTCCAATGATAAGTAAACTAATTTTTTCCCCACCTAAAAATTTATGTTGTTTATACCGGAAATTATATTATTTCCGGTACTTTCCCACATGAAGAAAACGGTAATATTATGGACTGCATGGCATAATCAAATTGTTTGAGATCGTTTATTTCCACAAAATTAACAATTTTGTATTTAGTAGTTTTTACACAAATAAATGTACGGCTGAAATAAACAAACAAAAATGGACGGTATTCTTCCTGTAAAAACAAGACTAGGTAGGTAAAATTATAAATGATGAACTCTTTATATTTTAATGTGCTCATTTCAGGTTATTTACACAAAATTAAAGTTTTTGGAATCTAGTAACGTTATGTGTATTAGTATACAGGTTATGACTAGAGCCCGACTGATATGGAAATTTTGTCTTTCGCCGATATTGGGCAGGACGAGCTAATGCTGATAACCGATGTATTGGAAATTATAGAGCTTTCTCCACCACAACAACCTAAGTAAACAGCTACTTTTAAAACGGTTTTAACCCTTGACGTCTTGAAACAAGTCTTCCTAACATGCGTTTACATTTTCTATTCTTCACTATTCACCATAAAGTTATCGAGTGTGTTACAAAAATATAAATTAAACAAAGAAGCGCCTTTCCCTGTTCATTGTTTCAACAGTTGTATAGATTCCTGATATTCAGAATATTAGGGGTGAAAATTAGAAGTGTTTAAATCGATGCTTCATGGGACAATCATCACCGATACGTTATGCCCCCAAACCAATATATCGGCCTAAAATATCGACTCTACCGATCAGGCTCTGAGCTACCGACCAAGTTAAAATGTGTTGTTGTTTTTTTCAAATAACATTAAATCCAGCGAGGCTCAGACGTCCCAGCTTTTCACCAGCCTTGAACACAGCATCACCTTTGTGGATCTTATCGTACGCATGCGTGACGACTTTTAAGACGTGTTTATCTCCGTAAAAGTGCAATATTAATCCCACTCGTGTGTTCAGGTGCTGGAGTGCTCATGGGACGAGTTGTGGAACAAAGTCCAGCGGGCCCAGGACCTGGACCACATCATTGCCGCCCACGACGTCTTCCTGGACACCATCATCTCCAGATGTTTGCTGGACAATAACAGCAGGGTAACGGCACCGTCGGGCTGTATGATCTTTCTCCCCGTTCACAGAAACCTAACCGACTTTTCTCTGTCCAGTCTCTTTTGAACCAACTGAGGGCCATATTCGACCAGATCATCGAGTTTCAAAGTGCCCAGGACGCCCTGTACCGCTCGGCGCTGGAGGAGCTCAGCCTCCGCCTGCAGTTTGAGGAGAAGAAGGCGGAGAGGGAGGAGGAGGTAAGAACCGAACGAGCGCTCATCGGAGTGGCGGTGCGGTGGTGTCTGATGTAACGAGTGTGGCTGCTGATCCAGGGTCAGTGGGGAGTGACGGCCCAACAGGAAGCGGAGGAGAAGAGGAGGATCCAGGAGTTCCAGGACACCATCCCAAAGATGAGGTCCCAGCTCAGGATCCTAACCCACTTCTACCAGGTGCCAGCCAGACCCCCACAGCCTCAAAACGAGCCTCGGGTTTACCTAAGAATTTAACGAGCTCCTCACTCCTCCCCGCAGAGCATCGTCCAGCAGTTCCTGGTCCTGCTGATGACCAGTTCCGACGAGAGTCTGCGCTTCCTCAGCTTCCGGCTGGACTTCAACGAGCACTACAGGTTCGTCCGAACGTTGCGTGACCCGTTAGCCTCTTCTGCCGTCTCCGGGCAGACTTAAGATCCAGCAGTGAAAGTGGACGAGAAAACAACCGGATATTTGTTCAAACTGTCTTTTCTTTTTTAAAACTAACGAGCGGAGGAGCCCGGAGCCAGGTGAGGCTGGAGGCTCGGAAACTTAACTAGTTTTAAAAGTGAAATGTTTATTTAGGACAGGGGTGGGCAACGTTTTTTTTTGTTTGTTTGTTTTTTTCCCCCAGAGGCCCAAATCAAGATGTTTAATTTTTTTTACGAAAGATAATCTCGGAGACGTTTTTCAGTCTTTTTCTTGTTGCAGCAAATGTCTCCCCAATGTTAGAAACGGAAAATAAGATGTACTTTTTGTAAACTGGCTCTTGTGACGTTTGTTAACGTAAGTAAACAAAAACAAAAAAAACTGATATACAGGTGCTGGTCATAAAAATAGAATATCATGAAAAAGTTGCTTTATTTCAGTAATTTCATTCAAAAAGTGAAACTTGTATATTATTTTCATTCATTACACACAGACTGATATATTTCAATGTTTATTTTTTTGTAATGTTGATGATTATAACTGACAACTAATGAAAACCTCAAATTCAGTATCTCAGAAAATTAGAATATTGTAAAAAGGTTCAATATTGAAGACACCAGGTGCCACACTCTAATCAGCTAATTAACTCAAAACACCTGCAAAGGCCTTTAAATGGTCTCAGTCTAGTTCTGTAGCTGCACAATCATGGGGAAGACTGCTGACTTGACAGTTGTCAATAAGACATCCAGTGACACCTTGCACAAGGAGAGCAAGACACAAAAGGTCATTGCTAAAGAGGCTGGCTGTTCATAGAGCTCTGTGTCCAAGCACATTAATAGAGAAGCGAAGGGAAGGAAAAGATGTGGTAGAAAAATGTATACAAGCAATAGGGATAACTGCACCCTGGAGAGGATTGTGAAACAAAACTCATTCCAAAATGTGGGGGAGATTCACAAAGAATGGACTGCAGCTGGAGTCAGTGCTTGAAGAACCACCACGCACAGACGTATGCAAGACATGGATTTCAGCTGTCACATTCCTTGTGTCAAGCCACTCTTGAACAAGAGACAGCGTCAGAAGCGTCTCGCCTGGGACTGCTGCTGAGTGGTCCAAAGTTATGTTCTCTGATGAAAGTAAATTTTGCATTTCCTTTGGAAATCAAGGTCCCAGAGTCTGGAGGAAAAAAGAAGAGTCACAGAATCCACGTTGCTTGAGGTCCAGTTTCAAGTTTCCACAGTCACTGATGGTATGGGGGGCCATGTCATCTGCTGGTGTTGGTCCACTGTGTTTCCTGAGGTCCAAGGTCAACGCAGCCGTCTACCAGGAAGTTTTAGAGACTTCATGCTTCATGCTGCTGACCAACTTTATGGAGATGCAGATTTAATTTTCCAGCAGGACTTGTCACCTGCACACAGTGCCAAAGCTGCCAGTACCTGGTTTAAGGACCATGGTGTCCCTGTTCTTAATTGGTCAGCAAACTCACCTGACCTTAACACCTTAGAAAATCTATGAGGTATTGTGAAGAGGAAGATGTGATACACTAGAACCAACAATTCAGAAGAGCTGAAGGTCACTATCAGAGCAACCTGGACTCTCAGAACACCTGAGCAGTGACACAGACTGATGGACTCCATGCTACGCCGCATTGCTGCAGTAATCCAGGCAAAAGTAGCCCCAACTAAGTACTGAGTGCTGCACATGCTCATACTTTTCAGTTGACCAACATTTCTAAAAATATATATTTTTAAATTGGTCTTAAGTAATATTCTAATTTTCTGAGATACTGAATTTGGGGTTTTCATTAGTTGTCAGTTATAATCATCAACATTAAAATAAACATTTGAAATATATCAGTCTGTGTGTAATGAATGAATATAATATACAAGTTTCACTTTTTGAATGGAATTACTGAAATAAATCAAGTTTTTCATGATATTCTAACTTTATGACCAGCACCTGTATGTATATGGAGTCTTTAAGGTTATGTTTAGTTCTAGTAACACAAGAACTAAAAAAAAAAAAGGTTATTCCAAAATATCCTGATGCATGCTCAATAATCCAGGTAGAAAAATCTAACAAAGTTAAATCAAGTCCTCTGGGCGGATTTAAAAAAATAAATAGTTTAAACTTTCCGTCTTTTATCTAAAAGACTGTCACTGCTGCATTGCTAGTATCACTCAGCCCTCTGTGAATAGCAAGTGGCCATCAGGGCACGAACGATCCATTGTTAGGCTGATGGTCCTCCTTGATCATGTGACGGCTAGTTCTGGATGTCATCAACAAACTGGTTGATCCACGTTGCAGCTCCTCAGACTGAAGAAGGTTTTCAATGTATTTTTCCAAGATATTCAATTTAGTTTTCTTCAAGTTTCATTAATAAAACGCAGGTCTTATTAAAATATTTAAAAGTTTTCTTTTAGGGGCCGAGTAGAAATTGTCCATGGGCCATTTTTGGCCCTCGAGTCACACGTTGCCCACGTCTGAATTAGGATGTAGATTTAGTTTCAGATAAACTGTTCCACAAAGATTTTTTTTATCCAGTTTTTCTTTGTTCTTTTGCGTTCCTCCAGGGCCAGAGAGCCGAGGCTGCGAGCTTCTCTTGGCGCCGCCAGAGGCCGCCGCCTCTCGAACATCTGACGTGTCGGGGTGACGCCATGTCTCGGAGGCACGATCCAGACCTGCGGCGGTCTCCGAGTGACGTCAGCTGGAATAACGCCCAGAACTTTCATTCAAAAAATAACATCTAACTAAGGTTTCTGCACGAATTCTGCAAAATCTGAGTTTATTTCAGGAAACGTTTCCATCGGATCGTGACGACGAGGAGACGTTCGTACACCAAGTGTTTGTTTTTTGATACAGGAGTGTCTGTACGTCCACCTGGGTTGGCCTGATGTGAGCGTGACAAGCATTTCTTCTCGATTTTGTATTTATAAAAGTTATTAAAATGATAAATTGTAATTATTATTGCAAGCTGTCGTGAAAGTGAGTTTTGTTCTCATTAAGGTGGAAAAAAACAAAAATCATCCGTCTTCTTCCGGTAGTTTGTTTTGGCTTCTCAGGTGAGTTGAATTATCTCCTCGGATAGTTTCACAAACCGGCTTTACTTAATAAAATCCAAAGTAGTGGCACGTTTTTAACCAAACATGTGACCGGACTGAAGCAGATTTCAACAATCTGCTAATATTTTATTTATTTCTATCATTACAATTTTTTTTTTTTTTTTTTTAAGGAAATCCTTTAAATTTCATGAACGTTACTTCAGGAAGATGCGTTCAAGAAAAAAAAGCGTTTTTTTTTTTTTTACATAACTGGTCAAATTTAAAGTTTTTTTTTTTTTGTTCCGTTACATCCAAACAAAGCAAACACTTCCTGTTGGTGAACTAATATTTAATCTATCCGAATAAATGTCTGCACCTTTTGTTCGTTCGGGTGAGGTTTGATGCGGAAGCTGAGGCGGTACAGAGTGTATGAAGACCAAACTGATCCTGGGTCAGCCCGTCTATGTTCTGTATATAATCTTTACTGTACAGCACTTCATGTATAAACACCAGAGATGGTCTAACATCCTCCCTTCTTTAATAAAAACACGTTTTGACAAACCAAAGTGTTTATTTTCTGAGGCATGCTGGTAACACCGGAGACACCGGTAAACTTAAAACTGTTCCACCACAATTATGCCGCGTTTATATTTAAATTTCATCATTTGAAATTAGAATCAGTTTTGTGTTGTGTTTCGTTGACTGATGAAGCCTTCTGGATGGAAGGTGAAACGTTTCAGCAAAACAAGAAACTGTCCAGATGACCTGACTGAAAATTGTTGGGCAGATCCATAATAGTATTTTCCGTTCGGGAGATGTGTACCAGGAGCTCCAAGAAACACACAGAGAGCAAAAGCAGGGGGAGGGAGAGCAGAGGCGTCCGTCTTGAGCGAGAGCCATCCAAACTACAAACGATTTTGTCGGACAAGACAAGAGGCGGGACTCCACAGCGACACCGGCCGGGGAAAACGAAGCTTTTCCGGTGTGAGTTGACGGCGTCTCGGTGGATTTTTTTTTTCCAGAAGTTCTCAAATATAAAATCAGAGCACCATCCAAAAAAAATCAAAAGTTTAGTGACGAAGATAAAAAGAAACAGCATTACCAAGAGGAAAGCATTGTTTTATGACGGGGTTAAAATGTTTTTACCGTGTATTGTAACACGGTTGATTTCTCCCCTCAGGAACACGAGAGTGAAGTTACTGCGAGGTTATGAGAGCGCTCGGAAAAATTCTGACGAAATGAAAAAAATGCAGGAGGCTTTTTAGACTTTGTCACCAAAAATCATGTTTGTTAGCTGTGCCAAAATAAATTAACAAATAAAAACAGACAAAAATAAATGTGTGGCTGATTTTTCCATGAGACGATTAGGCCGTCTGGAAAGAAAACGTTGCCCGACCTACACTAGAGGGAGCGATTGTTTCTCTTTTCCATCTGTTCATCGTCGTCAGGTTTGTGGTTTCACATCGATGGCACGAACAGACAGGTTCTCTCTCATTTAATCTCATAATTCATATGAAGGCGTTGCATCCTCTCTCTAGCTGCATCTTTAAAACAACAGAAACAGCTTTCTGCTGAGGACCCTTGGATTTTCGTGGAGCGTTGTGTTGACATCTTTTCAGGCCCGTCTGCGGGAACCTCTCGACTCTTTCAGATAACGGTTCCAGAAAATTGTCCGTTTGAGAAGCCAGGCGCTGAAAGGCTGAACTGGAGCAGCTGATTTTTTAAAATTCTCCCCGTGTGCCTGAATGTGACACATCCGAGCGTTGGTGAACCTTCTAATCCCTCAAGAGGTTCTTCCTTGTATTCCCAAAACCCTTTGTGTATTTTTTATCTCAGGGGAAATAGGTTTGCATTGCTGACCTTTACAATAAACATGACTTTCATTAAAAAATATATTAAAATATGACCTAGTGTCAGTTCATTTCCTGCATGTCAGTGGGTCTGAGAAGATCGGACAGACTTGGATTCGTATTTTTGTTGTTTTTTTTCTTGTTAGCTCTTTTATCCCCCGCAAGATTTTAGAAAAACCTATCAAAACCATATAAGTTACTTTAAACAATATTTTCCTTTAGCCTTTCTCTGCAGCTAAAATCAAACCAGGCGTGGCATCGACGGCAATAAGACCAGAACAGATCACAGTATGCTGTTCAGCCCAACTTTCAACGCATTTTAAACAAGTAAAATCGCCTTTTTCCCATTTTGAGAGATGTTCCAGGATAGAATAGAATAGAATTCAACTTTATTGTCATTGCACATGTCACAGGTACAAAGCAACGAAATGCAGTTTGCATCCATCCAGAAGATACAGGAGCAGAGTAGGAAAAGGCCTTTTTACAAAGTTCATTCTACACTGAAGGAACGCTGCAGGTAATGATGACCTGAGAGCGCATGTTGTAACTGCACTGACGACGTGACATGTGGGAGGAAATATATGAAGGTAGCAGACCGAGGAGGGATTTATAGATGAAAATGAACCAGTGTGAGAGCCTACGTGTAGATAATGATGTCCAACTGACCAAGGACAATAGAGTGCAGTGAAGAAGGACTACTGCCACCAACTTCCTATTCGAAAACAACATCCCTTTGGTTTTGTCAGCATTTAGCACCAGTTTGAGACGGAAAAAGTCTGACTGAATGATGTCCAGTGCAGACTGTAGAGGCTGGAAAACCTTGGAAACTTGAGTTAGCTCGATAATAAGCAATTGTATCGTCAGCATAAAGATACAAGGAGGCGTCAGGAATGTTTTGACCTACATTGCTTATACAAATTGTAAAAAGAGTGGGTCCTAAAAGTGAGCCTTGTGGCACACCATAGTGACCGTTAGGTAGCTAGATGTACTGTTATGTCGAATGATTGCCTCCAACATGACAGATAGTTTGAGAACCAACCAATAGTGTGATTTGTGACAGTTAATCGTAATGAAACTTAATAAAATGAGATGACATTACAAATTGTGAAATATTATTACTAACTTGTCAAATGTACGCCAACTATTCCTTTTTTTACGACAAAAGCTAACTTTCCATCGCTAATTGTACAACAAGCTAAGCTAAAAACGTAATGTTTATAGCGTCAAATATATTAAAAAAATATATATTTTAAAGGTTTATTTATAACCCATGTATTCTTAAGTAATAAACTCTGTCATTTCTTTGAGTACTTTCTTCAAACATGTGTATAGTTTTTTTTTTTTTTTTTATTATTGAAGTTTTATTAGATAAATTAGCTTAGCAACACTGGCTAACAAAAACAAAACTTGATTAAATTATGGTATTTAGATATCACTTGGAAGGCTTTCACTTATTTATGGTGTTCATGAACAAGTGAGTAAAATAAGGCAGGAATAAAAAGCAAAGAAACACTTTGTTAAATCTTCCATTTTGATAGTTGCTAGCTCATGCTAATTTATGTTAGCTCATAATCATTTTGTTAGCTGACCCAGTATCAGTGGCGCCCTTAGGAAAGTTTGAAAGGGGGCCATGTGGGGGTCCCTGAAAGTTCTATGATGGCACCAAAATCTTAATCCACAACAGAATTTCTAGAGATTTGTTACATTGTCATCAGAAATCTGTTTTTTGATCAATCCAGCAATAAGAGAGCCAGGGAGTCACCTTCTGACACACAGGTCTACTTTAATTTAAAGTAGGTTCATTTAGTTATTACTTAATGAGAAAAGTACTGTCAATAATCAACTAATTGAAGCCTGTCCTCTCTTATAGTTGTAAAATGTTATACATAAATATGTAATTATTATATAAAATATTCTACCCTGGAGACCCTGCATCCGGATGTTGAGTACACTGATTTTAGACCAGTTGTCTTTAATTGGGGGAACTACATTGTAAGTTCAGTTTTTAATATAATAATAATAATAATATATATATATATATGTATAACATCTCAATGAAATGAGGATAACGAGTTACTACAACAAATAATTTCCCTCTGGGATTAATAAAGTATATTTGAATTGAATTCAATTGAATTGAATATATATATATATAATTTTATTTTTTAAGCCGAATTGCTCAAAAACAATGTTTTTTTTTTTAATGCTTATGAGGTTCTACTAATACTAAACGGCTCAGGAAAATTAAAAATGCACACCAAATTAATGATTTAGACTCAATAGGATAAAACCATCTGGCCAAGAGCTGCCAGAGGGGGTTCTTTAGGGGTGGTCCTTGCCCCATGCCCCCCAGGTGGCCCCCATATCCAGTATCAGTAGAGAAATCCTAAAAGCGCTATAAAACAAATTCTTAATTTTCCCAGCAAGTAAAATCAATAAAAAGTAAAATATTACTGAACAATAAAATCCTATAAAGTATTTTTCACTTTTCTCCGGAGACTCCGGTTCTGTCCGGTAAACAAAATGAATGGTCTGATTTCTCACATACGGTCAGAACTTTGGTGTTTTGTCGCCACCTGGTGGTCAATTCTACAATCAGCTGAATTTATTATCAAACAGTTTATGTATAAAGTGCGCTTTTTTAAAATTATTTAATTATGATGTTCAGTTTTGACCCAACAGCAGAACTTTAACAGCTTTTATTATATTTTCTCCTGGTGTAAATTTCAATAAGGCTGATTGGTTAATGGTGGTCTCGAAGCACCAGAGTCAAATCAAAAGTCTTTTCCAATCAGTATTGATCTGGTGACGTCTGTCGACAGCA